TTGCGGCCAGGAACATCCAAGTTAAATGCCCAAAGGACTATGTACATTGTACTTCACCAACGTGCCACAGCTTTGCGATTATGCCACATTAGCACCTGTCTCTTATACACATCTAGATGTGTATAAGAGACAGGTATCAATTTTTTTTATTTTTTTTTTTTTTCCGCGTGGTATCAGTTCAACTTATTTGGGACGCACACGAAACGAAAACGAAAAGAGTGCATCTGCCCATGAAAGGTGGAAAAGTACACTCGTTACTATTTACAGCAAACCCACGAACCTGGCCATTTTCTACAGGAAGATGCACTCGTTTCGTTTTTCGTTTCGTGTGCAGTGCGGCGCGGCGAAGCCCTTGGTTGCCTTCTGGAGCAAGTGCATTCCCAAGTTCCCAGCGACAGCCTTCCACGAAAGGACAGAAAGGAAGAAAAAAAAAAAGGCGAAAAAGAAAAGAGCAGACAACCCCCTCGCATCCCCTCCCGCCCTGCTATCTCGTCCGCCCTTCCTCCCAAAAAGGAAACAGTGGACGTGGACCGCAACGGACAAGCACAACCTACCCAGCCTACCGCAGGTCGCCCGCTCACCAACCGGTCTTAGACTTGCGGGCGACCAGACCCTTCCACGTGAATTTCGAAAGCCCGAAAAGACCCCGCCAGAGCTTTATTGCAGTCGACGACAACGACAAAAAGACAATTGCACTAAGCGCAGCCTTTTGGCTGCGAATTGAATTCAGAACAGTAGAAGGGTAGAACCTGTGAGAGTCCTCGATTTATAGCCCAGTAAGTTGTAGGCTGAGGGACACCAAGTAGACAGGATTGTGTTGCTTGGCTATCGGTAGCAAATAGTATTATCATCTTTTCAGCCTTTGGAAAAGTTTAGAATTGAGTCTCTAGCTAGTGCTGTTGGTAGAAATCTGGAAAGTTAGTAGTTTTGGACTTTCCGCAGGCGTTCGCCTGTAAGCTAAGCTGGCTGATGCTGTCAGTATCCCGGGTTGAATTGTGAGGTCCCCGGCCTCGTTGCTATATTTATAATGAATCTTGTATTTGTTAAAAAAAAAAAAAAAAAAAAAACATGAGTGACGGGGGGGGGTCCAACCGGAAAGCTTCCGCCAGCGCTACGGCGCTCGGACGAAGCGTTTCCGTGACTGGTAACGGTTGAGTGCTTGGTCGCAGGACATACCGCCGTGATATGCCCTCGGCAACTTCGGTGCGCCGTCACCTCCCCTTTGTGGTAGGTCATAGCTACCAAGGCTATGGAGGCTGCCCTATCAAGCACCCGGAAAGACCTCTATACTGTTGTTTAAGGATCAATTTGCTTTCATGAAAGTACTCTGATGAAGGTAGACCTGCTTGAAATTGTCCTTAGCTTAAGTGACTTATGATTTCTCTCTCCATCATCTCCAATAGGGTTCCACATTACTACGGTTCGGTTGCCATGAAGAAGAACTAGTAGACTCGGGGGTGAGATCCCCCCCTCAGGTCCCGGAGGGGACAGAGGAAGACAATGAGAGGCTAAGAGATCCGATGAAAGCTTGTTACTTAGAGGGTATCATGCCAACAGACATTGATCCAGGTATGATGTCATTAGGAGGTAGGGAGGTGAGACTCAAAGTAAGTGTCTCCCTTGACCAAATAAAAAATGCTTGGTTAAAAGAACATACGGTTACTTTTATCTTCCTGGCAGGCACAAGATTTTTGGCAAGAAATGTGAAGGCGGACATTGTACGTGCCTACGAAGACAAGAAGACGTCAGACGGCGATTTCAATTCACAAACTTTCAGTAGAGGGAGAGTGAAAGTGGAGTCTCCCAACGTCATCTCATACGTTGCAAAATCGCTTGAGATTGCAAGATGGTTGGTGGCGAAAGGCTCAGATGAACTCACAGTAGGCACAAACAGCTGCATCTTCGATTTCAAGCCATGGCTCACCAAGGCACAGCTTCGCGAACAATGACAGCTGGAAGACGAAGAGAAGTTATGGGTTATTGTTGTGCAAGTATCCCTAGACGCCTTTCTCTACCTCGAGGTACAAGTCAGACAGGCTATTGGACCTGTAATACTAGCGGTTAATGAAAGGTAAAAAATTCGGGGTTTTTCGCCGCGTCGCTACAAGCAATGTTGTCGAAACTTTTGTGAACAAACTATGCAGGGTCACAACACAAACATCAAAAAAACAAAC